TTGGAGCAAAGAGGGTCAACTGACACTTGTAGTGAAGCCGTTTATCTGCCTAGATCAGAAAAATATCCCGGAGTACGTGTTTTATTTGAAATAAGGGGTTGCTGATATCTCCATCCTTTCCTTCAGGAAGTGGGCGACGATTAGAAATGAAGGCGTAGCAGATATTCCTGAAGCAAAGTCTGCTGGAAGTTTCCGGGAATTTTTTAAAATACTCTCTAAGGCTAAAACCATCCCAAGGACTAACTTGAAACAGTCTATAATGGTGTTTAATAAGACTCAGTTTTCCAATACACGGAGCAAAAATAAACCCTCCGCATAATAAAAAAAAAGCAACCTTACGTTTTTCTTTATGTCCTATTCTACACAGCGGAGATTGTTGGTAATTACTACAGTAACCTATTCGAGCACAGTGAGGAGCCAGCCTCCTTCCTATTACGTAACCTGTCCCCTACTCTACAAGCAATTCTGCATGGCACGCTTCTATGATAATCGACAGCAACAGCAAGTCGGTCCAGACCCTCCCAGTGTGGTTACAACATGTCTTGGTAAACGGGTTAAGTTTCTGGCGACGTGGCCTCTACCTCCATGACGGAAGATGGCGGCAGTTTGAATCTTTAGACTGTATTGATATTGATTCAGTTCATAACGATTTTCAGCGAGAGATCCCTTATGTTTTGTTCTACCCTGACTTGGTTGAGAATGTAATGCGTGTTTGAGCAAAGTACCTGAGTGATGACGGCCATATTGTGGAAACTCTAGCTGCTGGTTGTTATTCCCCTACTAGAAAAATTGACAGGTGCGTTTATGTTGCCTGAGAAGATAGTCGATATGTCACGACGCAACCGGTGTTTTCACCTCAAAATGACGTCTGAGGCGGGAACGTGCGAGTCCAGACATTCCATACCGATGACGTGTCACTACCCAGATCTGGGTAGTGCTTCTGACTGGTTGGGAATTTGTTTTATCCAATCAGAAGGCGTACCACTACCCAGATCTGGGTAATGACACGTGATCAGCATGGAATTTCTCCGCTCGTTTCTCAGACGTCATTTCGAGGGGAAACAAGTGGTGGCGTCGCGAAATGTCGGCTGTTCTCTCAGGTTACTTTATATTTTTCTGGTCATGACTCATTCCCTTTTCCTTCCAAACAGGACAATTTCACAAACGCCTCATTGGACTACAACTTACTATATTTAACTGATTTTCGTTTTCTTTGTCATGATTTGCACAAGAAAAGACTGAACGATTGTGTTAGTTCGAGTCAACTGGAATGCTTGGTTATATGGAGACAAACCTTCGATATTGAAATTTCTATTGTACAGCCCTGGAGCGCAGCCTCTTAATCCAACATCGAATAACAATAGAGTCAGAATGGTGAAAAGTTGTACCATACCTTGTTTATGGCCGCAACAAATCACGTTGCAAATTCATTATTGTATCTTATGGAAAAGTTAAAATGGAAAACAGGTTATTTTAACATCTTTTTTAAAAACCTTATTGATCTGTGAGAAAAAAAGTCTTTCGAACAATATTGACTTGGCACTTTTCTCTTCTACAGTGGTCCTCCAAATCAGCGAATTATGGGCGATGTCACTACGGTGTTCATAACAGAAACATACCATATTTATCTGTGGACCAATAACAGCGTTTTCTTAAAAGACATGTGGCCGCATGTGGTTGAGGCGATTGCTTGGATGATTGACTGAGGCACAAAAGGGAACGGTTTACCTTACAGACTACAGTGTACATATGATCAGCTCTTTCTCAGTTTATACGATCACGACACATGGAGCGAAGAGGATGGATATTACCACGCTTGGTGGGATAAGGAGAAAGGTTCACCGTCCTGGCTGATGAGTGATTCACTGTACGCTCAAGTCTGGGCCTACACTCTGGGACTAGGACACTTGGACGATCCAAAAAGGTTAGGATGTAACTTTCGGCTTCAGGATAGCTTTTTACTTCCGGGGTTTGAGTTCAGTTGTATCTCTGGGTAGCGATCACAATTTTTTTTGCGCTGTTCTTAAAATTTTCTTGACTACACTGAGCGGCGAAGGTTTGATGACCTAAAAATGGTTAGGTACCGTTACTAAATGTCCTAATGACTAATTTGGCGCCTTTTTCATTCTCATAGTAAAGCCATTTCCATTGCGTTGCATAATGCACAATAATTTTAGTCACAACAGTGTCCACAACAGTTCAGAAGACACCACGTACTACTACTACGTTCATTATAGAGGGCCGTAGGTTAGAACACCGTAAAAGGTTATAACGTCTCCCTCCTTTATAAAGTTACTGTTATGTATTGTACTATAGGACCATTGAAGCAAACGCATTTTATTAATTCCCTGTGTACAGGCTCAGCTCTCATTTAATGAAAGAACTTGAAATTAACGATACGTCATATGGGCTCCGAGTGATGGCTACTGACCACCCAACTAACAAGAGGGTGGGCTCATGTCCCAAGGATATCAATACTAAGAAGTTAAACGAGTTGTTGGCACTACACAAGTCAATCTGGATGGGCGCCAGCCCTGACTGGACGACTCTTCAACTTCATTTGGGTAAGCTTGTATAATTGCCAGCAAGAACAGGGTCGTCTTGCTTGTCTCGGTATCTGCCTAGCACATCATTGACGTGGAAGTTGATTATCCCATGGGGGTCACCACTTTGAAAAGAAGTTAAGGAATTGTAGGTTACAATTAGCCAGCTAGAAGACTTGACACGTTAACCTGAATAAATTGGTCTTTCGTTCATTCGTTCTTTCATTCCTGTGGAATGTAGGTTCATACATAAAACGCAATGTAGGTAAATGCCATTGCGCGCGGTCATGGAGGAATATAGCCTGTTCCAGGAGTTCCCAGTCTTCCCTCGTTTTCCCCAAATACATCATCAGATTACGGTAATAATGTTGCTGTACCCTCAAACTTTTCCAACCTACCTTGACAAAAATTTCAATTAGATTTCACCGCTCGAGCTTATCGCCTCTCCTTTGGCTGAACTAGGTTGAAAATACTCCTAAGATACTCGGTGACGATCCCAACGGTGCCCTTCTTAGAAAGAGTTGACTGAAGTAACTCTTGAGTGCTACGCTTATGGAAATCTTGAAACAATCTTACTTCAAGTTTGGATCCTCAGAAGGCGTTACTAAAAGCTGAGAAAGCAATAGAACACGTGCGCTCAGAGCTGAATGACGAATGGGATTTTCATGAACTTTACTCGGGGGATGGGTACGGACTTGATGGTCTCCCATGGTGCACCTCGCACTATGCTTTTCACATGGTACTATGGCACATTCCTTTTGCGATCTCGGGACAGTCCTTCTCGGCGCCAGAGGCAAGACTGTCTTTTGAACCTAAGCTCTCTTGTCCGTATCATATTCCTTTCTATACACCGTTTGCCTCGGGACTTTACAATGTACCTTTGTCCAAAAACGAAATCAAACCAAAATGAAATTTCAAATTATGTCGACCTCAGGTGGGGTATTTCTGGAACAGCTTGCGGTCAGCGGCTTTCGATATCCAAGTGCACTAACGCTGAAACAGGATGAGGCAGTCACGTGGTTTTCAAATTAATTTCCAAGGCTGCTTCAGTTTGAATTGCCTTTCTTTACAACTGATTGATGAGTTGTATCTTATCGCAAGAGAAATTCGTTTAGTCTCAATTGATACGGCCGAGTAATAAAAACCTAAGAAGGATTCCCATCTAAGAATTATGGGGATCCACATAAGAATGAGGGACACCGAGAATCGTCATTTATTAGTGGCGGACACAGGGGAGGGGCCCGGCGGGCTGGGCACCCCTTCCCCCCGTTTCTAGACCAAACTGAGGCCCGAAGGACCGAAAAAATGTTTTTTGAGATCGGGTCCCCCTCTTATCTCAGTGTCTGAATGACCGGGCCACCCTTATCTGAAGGTCTGGATCCGGCACTGTTTATAGTGTTGAAATGATCTTACCCTATGGTATATTCCAAAGTAACCTAAATGGTCAATGGGGTGAAACTGAACAATGTCAAATGCTCAAAAGGCTATATTCAAATTTTCGACGATTGTCTCTGTCTTTGCCATCTGTTTATAAGTTTTGGGCATAAGCGTTTGAAAGAAATTATTAAATCATTAGTTTTTTGCACTGTTTATTTTCACTGCAGCAAAACTTACGAAGGTGCAACAATTTTATTTTCTGTACACAATATAAAAGAGATTGATAATTAATTAGCAAGTTAGGGGAGAACAGTCGTTCTCGTACAATAAACCAAACAACTACTTAACTTATGAAACTAATAGTTAACAGCCAAAAATTAAGTAACATGACATAATTGACTTGTAAAAGAATTCTTAATTTTAGTTTGAATTCTCAGGGATTTTCAATTCGAACCCGTAAAGCTGGACAAGTCAGTAAATAGACAAGTAGATGAGACGTGCAATTCCTTCCATTCTTCTAAATGTACAATTTCCTTTATAAATACGCAAATTTATATTCTTGCAAATGTTTTCTTCGATTTTAATGCGCTTTATTACTAATATTTTCTCCACCCATGGGTAAGAAATGGTACAAGTGACCATTTTTCATTTCGGATTTTTTTAGCACTTCCTTTCTAAATACCAGGATAACAAATGTGGAGAAGTATTGGGCATGCAGCGAAGAGTGAGAAAAAAAAAAACTAAAAGGTTAAGTTCTATGGGTGCATATTTGAATTATGGGAAAGTATCTCGAGTAAAAACCGTTAATGATGATGATTTATGAAGCATATAAGAAACGTATAAATGACAAGGGCACGCATCCTGCCACGCACTCTTGGCAATTGCATTTAATCAGTGACAGATCCAAAGGCAGGAGAGGGAAGGGGACGAGACCTGTTATACCGGCTACGTTTTGTCCATTTCTAGTCCTAGTAAGTACTGTAACTAACCATGTACTGAGAAGGGTCATTACTTACACTCCAGTTAATGTAAGAAAACCGATTTTCGAGGAAATGTTGTGAATTAAATTGACATTATAATTCAAGCGTTAGCAGCGTCTCGCTTGTCGTGATAATTGTCACACAGTTCAACAGAGGTTCTCCAAGCATTGATCACGTGCTTTAGTTGCACTTCCGATGGCAATGCGTCCAGTCCTGGCACTGGTTCATGTCCTCTGTTGTCAAGATGCCACTCGATGTATTCACCCAGGCTGAATAAAAGGAGACACAGTCGTTGTAAGATAATACGCATATTATTCAACACGAGAAGGAGTTTTTCATGTCATATCTAACCACCAGGGAGATGATTGAAATGAAAAACCAGAGCAAACCAAACACAAGGAACAGCCGAGTTTTATAACTCTATCAGATAAAATATTTCTCTGTATCTTCGGTGTAGCTTCTTAGATGATCAATAACGGTAATTAGGTGGTGGGGGTTTGGGGGTCGCGTGGGTCGATTATCCCTCTGACCACTATCAAGAATTGCTTCTCGACAGTCCAATATAAAACACCTCGTTCATGCTGGTAAATAGCCAACTACAGATAAACATTCTACAGATGACTACGTCAACCATAGACATACTAGTGGTAATAGAGGCAGTCTCTCCAAAGTTACCTCATTTCTTCTTCTCCGGGGACTGCATCACCTCTTAAGTTCAGCAAAATAAGCTCCAGGACCTCACAGACAAAGCAATCCAAGTCAATTCTCCTCATTCCATTGCTAAACTTCATCAGCTGAGCTCGGGACATGACCTGCTTGTAGGTGTCCGAAATCTGCTCAAACGGATCCTGCAAAGGCAATAACAAAAAGTTAAGTCTTAGGCATTGCTATTTACATATCTCTTACAGTACTTAGATAAACAACCGACAAAATTCCGTGCCCCACTCGACCAATCAAAAGCAAAACTTAAACCAACCGTGGCATGCTAAGCAAGTGTAAGTAAGCTATCTATTTCGAGTAACGAGCGAGGCGAGTCGCAAGAAATTGCGCGGGCGAGCGGCAAAGCCCCTTGCCCTCGCGCCCTCGCGCACGATTCCCCCAATACAGAGCTTGTTCCTAGCTACTTTTCGTCTGATTTTATACTGTCTTGGAAGTCTAATTGCTTTAATAGGCTGTTTGCGTTTGTTCCGATTACACGGAGTAACTACTTTCTCGTTTATTTTACGACTTAAGTAAAAAGTCGCCTTCCAGTCTCCTTGATTTTAGTTTTGTTTTTGATGAGAAGGTAGAACGGAGGCGACACTGTTTCTGTTCAATGTACTTGCAAGTTTAATTCCTCAGCTCAGTTTAATGTTGTTACGAAGTCCTTGCTAATGTCGTGCAAGGGCAGATGCAAGTTACAGGTAGAAATATTCATATTCCTTACCTCTCCTCGCCTTATAAGAATTTTGGCTCTCTCAAGGGTGAGAAGTCGCCAGAGAGAGATCACGTGACGTAACTGACAGTACTGCTGAGCCTGGAAAGGAAAATGGCAAACATAGAAACTTAGATTCGACCCACGAAGAATCTTTCGGCAGCTGTATGTAGAATACTGATGACAGAATACCCGGAGTGATATACATTCAAAAGGGAAAGGGACGAGGAAAATCGGGCACACAAACGCGAAGGTTGCTGCAAAAGTCAACAATAATAATAGTAATAATAATAATGATTTAAATCTTTATACAGGAACACGCCTTCGCCCACGGGTGGTTGTCAGACGAGAACTCTTACTAAATTAAAACTATACTAAACAATAAAAACATTAAGTACGTAAAATAGACAACAAAAGGTACAAAGTCTCATTGTTCCTATCAAAAATATGCTAAAAGATGTAAAATTCAATTCTTTACCGTACAAACTTAACTTTAGTTGTAGCTACAATTTATACCTTCAAACTCCGAAGAGTATTTTGTTGCATGCGTAGCACCCTTCCTAGATAGTCACTGAGGAGCCTTTCAGGGGCTCCCCCAGTGGAAGATAGAAAACCAATGGCAATATCCAAAGATGAAAGCACGTCACAGATGTCAGTCAGGGAGCGAAACTCACCCCCTCTTATCTCAGTGTCTGAATGACCGGGCCACCCTTATCTGAAGGTCTGGATCCGGCACTGTTTATAGTGTTGAAATGATCTTACCCTATGGTATATTCCAAAGTAACCTAAATGGTCAATGGGGTGAAACTGAACAATGTCAAATGCTCAAAAGGCTATATTCAAATTTTCGACGATTGTCTCTGTCTTTGCCATCTGTTTATAAGTTTTGGGCATAAGCGTTTGAAAGAAATTATTAAATCATTAGTTTTTTGCACTGTTTATTTTCACTGCAGCAAAACTTACGAAGGTGCAACAATTTTATTTTCTGTACACAATATAGAAGAGATTGATAATTAATTAGCAAGTTAGGGGAGAACAGTCGTTCTCGTACAATAAACCAAACAACTACTTAACTTATGAAACTAATAGTTAACAGCCAAAAATTAAGTAACATGACATAATTGACTTGTAAAAGAATTCTTAATTTTAGTTTGAATTCTCAGGGATTTTCAATTCGAACCCGTAAAGCTGGACAAGTCAGTAAATAGACAAGTAGATGAGACGTGCAATTCCTTCCATTCTTCTAAATGTACAATTTCCTTTATAAATACGCAAATTTATATTCTTGCAAATGTTTTCTTCGATTTTAATGCGCTTTATTACTAATATTTTCTCCACCCATGGGTAAGAAATGGTACAAGTGACCATTTTTCATTTCGGATTTTTTTAGCACTTCCTTTCTAAATACCAGGATAACAAATGTGGAGAAGTATTGGGCATGCAGCGAAGAGTGAGAAAAAAAAAACTAAAAGGTTAAGTTCTATGGGTGCATATTTGAATTATGGGAAAGTATCTCGAGTAAAAACCGTTAATGATGATGATTTATGAAGCATATAAGAAACGTATAAATGACAAGGGCACGCATCCTGCCACGCACTCTTGGCAATTGCATTTAATCAGTGACAGATCCAAAGGCAGGAGAGGGAAGGGGACGAGACCTGTTATACCGGCTACGTTTTGTCCATTTCTAGTCCTAGTAAGTACTGTAACTAACCATGTACTGAGAAGGGTCATTACTTACACTCCAGTTAATGTAAGAAAACCGATTTTCGAGGAAATGTTGTGAATTAAATTGACATTATAATTCAAGCGTTAGCAGCGTCTCGCTTGTCGTGATAATTGTCACACAGTTCAACAGAGGTTCTCCAAGCATTGATCACGTGCTTTAGTTGCACTTCCGATGGCAATGCGTCCAGTCCTGGCACTGGTTCATGTCCTCTGTTGTCAAGATGCCACTCGATGTATTCACCCAGGCTGAATAAAAGGAGACACAGTCGTTGTAAGATAATACGCATATTATTCAACACGAGAAGGAGTTTTTCATGTCATATCTAACCACCAGGGAGATGATTGAAATGAAAAACCAGAGCAAACCAAACACAAGGAACAGCCGAGTTTTATAACTCTATCAGATAAAATATTTCTCTGTATCTTCGGTGTAGCTTCTTAGATGATCAATAACGGTAATTAGGTGGTGGGGGTTTGGGGGTCGCGTGGGTCGATTATCCCTCTGACCACTATCAAGAATTGCTTCTCGACAGTCCAATATAAAACACCTCGTTCATGCTGGTAAATAGCCAACTACAGATAAACATTCTACAGATGACTACGTCAACCATAGACATACTAGTGGTAATAGAGGCAGTCTCTCCAAAGTTACCTCATTTCTTCTTCTCCGGGGACTGCATCACCTCTTAAGTTCAGCAAAATAAGCTCCAGGACCTCACAGACAAAGCAATCCAAGTCAATTCTCCTCATTCCATTGCTAAACTTCATCAGCTGAGCTCGGGACATGACCTGCTTGTAGGTGTCCGAAATCTGCTCAAACGGATCCTGCAAAGGCAATAACAAAAAGTTAAGTCTTAGGCATTGCTATTTACATATCTCTTACAGTACTTAGATAAACAACCGACAAAATTCCGTGCCCCACTCGACCAATCAAAAGCAAAACTTAAACCAACCGTGGCATGCTAAGCAAGTGTAAGTAAGCTCTCTATTTCGAGTAACGAGCGAGGCGAGTCGCAAGAAATTGCGCGGGCGAGCGGCAAAGCCCCTTGCCCTCGCGCCCTCGCGCACGATTCCCCCAATACAGAGCTTGTTCCTAGCTACTTTTCGTCTGATTTTATACTGTCTTGGAAGTCTAATTGCTTTAATAGGCTGTTTGCGTTTGTTCCGATTACACGGAGTAACTACTTTCTCGTTTATTTTACGACTTAAGTAAAAAGTCGCCTTCCAGTCTCCTTGATTTTAGTTTTGTTTTTGATGAGAAGGTAGAACGGAGGCGACACTGTTTCTGTTCAATGTACTTGCAAGTTTAATTCCTCAGCTCAGTTTAATGTTGTTACGAAGTCCTTGCTAATGTCGTGCAAGGGCAGATGCAAGTTACAGGTAGAAATATTCATATTCCTTACCTCTCCTCGCCTTATAAGAATTTTGGCTCTCTCAAGGGTGAGAAGTCGCCAGAGAGAGATCACGTGACGTAACTGACAGTACTGCTGAGCCTGGAAAGGAAAATGGCAAACATAGAAACTTAGATTCGACCCACGAAGAATCTTTCGGCAGCTGTATGTAGAATACTGATGACAGAATACCCGGAGTGATATACATTCAAAAGGGAAAGGGACGAGGAAAATCGGGCACACAAACGCGAAGGTTGCTGCAAAAGTCAACAATAATAATAGTAATAATAATAATGATTTAAATCTTTATACAGGAACACGCCTTCGCCCACGGGTGGTTGTCAGACGAGAACTCTTACTAAATTAAAACTATACTAAACAATAAAAACATTAAGTACGTAAAATAGACAACAAAAGGTACAAAGTCTCATTGTTCCTATCAAAAATATGCTAAAAGATGTAAAATTCAATTCTTTACCGTACAAACTTAACTTTAGTTGTAGCTACAATTTATACCTTCAAACTCCGAAGAGTATTTTGTTGCATGCGTAGCACCCTTCCTAGATAGTCACTGAGGAGCCTTTCAGGGGCTCCCCCAGTGGAAGATAGAAAACCAATGGCAATATCCAAAGATGAAAGCACGTCACAGATGTCAGTCAGGGAGCGAAACTCGCTTATGACTTGACGGCCTACTGCTGAACTCAGAGGAACCTGTGAAAAGACAAAAATATATTCGTAGTTTAATTGAACCGCACAGTTCTTTAGACTTCCTCTTGTCATCGATATTACGATAATTAACACCACGCATTGTATTGACTACATTCAGGTCCAAATATATTCGAGGGTGAAGGTACCTCCTTCAGGCGCTTCCATTACTGCAAAACTCTGATTACTCACGTGACTAGGATTATACCACAGAACGGCGTACCCAGTGATATCATTTATAGGTGGGGTGCGGGACATAAGATCGTAGCTGCCTAAGGCACCTTATAATGTATATGTCTAATGTCATTTTCATAACGTCGTAAAGCGCCCATTCATTCGATCGTTCGTTCATTCATCACCCATCCATCCAACCATTCTCTCATTTACTCTCCGTTGAAACTACTTTACAATCGAGGCATATGCCACGCGGGGTAATCGTTTCTGGTACAACTACTTTTAACATCGTTATATCCCTAGAGGCTAGTCTGCAGGCTAGCTCTAGTATACTAATAAGAATGATGTTACCTGACGAACTTTGGCCTTTACGGCAGCAAAAACAGAGTCCAGTTGGATATCTTTACTGAATGCAAACCTCTCATCCTGTAATAACAATTGAGCAAATTGGGCTTTTAAAATCAAATATAAGAAATCGACAATAAACGCTTAACACTACACTCTTTCTTAAAGAGTAAATGAGAGTAAGTACGCCACCATGACAACCTATTTGTGTGAAAATAAATATGTATGTGAATCATTAACTAGGCTCGATTTCCGCCGTCTCCCGGGTCCAGTCTTTGATCCTCCCTCCTTCGGGGGGATGAGTGCGGGCTCATTTTCCCGAACAGCGGGTGGTAATCGAGCCTAATCATTAACTTACTAAATAAATATATAACCTATTTGTGTGAAAATAAATATATGTGTGAATCATTAACTAGGCTCGACTTCCGCCGTCTCCCGGGTGCGGTCTTTGATCCTCCCTCCTTCGGGGGGATGAGTGCGGGCTCATTTTCCCGAACAGGGGGCTGGTAATCGAGCCTAATCATTAACTTACTAAATAAATAGAAATAATGAATAAAGAGAGAAATCTGACGAAACACTTTGACCGATATGCCACCGTTCCACACTTGCATACTTGAGGTCTCAAAATAGTCTCCTCTGACTATTTTGAAAACTAGAGCCCGGGGGGGTATCACGGCTCCGAAAGTCCAACCTCTTTTTTCTCTTGGTACATAGATTTACTGACGAGCAGCTATGTTTACTGAGCGAAAGTCTTCAACTGCTCTCATGAACATTCACCGTGACCGTGGTGCTGTCACTGTCAATTTTTTCTTTCTTTCCTTTTTCTCTGACTCGCTAACCTCTTGTTGAAAGTTTGAGAAATGAGAATCTTACGAAAAACGTCACAAAAGTTGTTCTTCTTCAGGTGATATACGCAATCCATCTTAACTGCTGTATAATTCAACTTTCTTAGCTTGAGTGACTAACTTCAGACAAAATGGTTGAATAGGCTTTTATAGAGTTGTTTGACGGCAGCGGTAACGAATGCCCCTGCTGCAGTTTTTTATAATGTAGCAATGCATTCCACTGTTGTTCTTTACAAAATTTGGTTTAACAACCTGATCGAAAATGATTAAATTTAAGGATTTATAGGAAACGTAAACACTCAAAGGTGTTCACGTCAATGGTTATAGGAAATATTAACACACCGAGATTTCTCGATATAAACACAATAATAGTCCGGCAATGGATTGGTCTCCCCAATCTTTCAATCTAAATCCCACATGGAAATTCTACAGTTTACCTTGAAATCAACAAGAGGTTTTCTCCTGATGAACCTGTCGATCAGCT